CCCAGGATTGTCTCCAGAGGGGGGAGGGAGGTCTGTGCAGTTGTGAAAACTACAATACAGAACTTATATTTGGGCCCACTAAGAACATTTAATCAGAAAGCAAGATGACTAAGCAAGGCAGTGATAGCTTTCCTCACTTATTCAAGAGTTGTAGCATTGGTCTGTGTCGTCAAATCATGTTATGAGATGACATGAAATGTCGGAAAGTCAGGGAACCTGGGGCAGCTTCATCATGATTCAGTCTGTTCTCCTGGCTTCAGTTTCCTAATGAGTAAGAGGGGGTGAGGGTTGGACTAGATCATTGCTGAGGTGTCTTCTGCCTTTTATGATTCTAGAATCTTTAGGAAATTCCTGTTTATACAGAAAGTTTGAGTTAAACGGTGTTTTTGATTAATGTATACTATAGCTAAAGAGCTTGAACTGAGTATTGTTCTAACCAATAAAGTCACCTACTGACCCTGAGCCCCCTATTTTCTCCTTTGATAAATTGACATGAGAATACAACAGATTTCCTAGGTCATTTGTGAGAATTCCAGGAGCGAATGCATGTGAAAGCACCTTGTCAAAGTGTTGTGTTAACTATCACTATAGTTATACTTTTTCCAAGAATCAGAATATAATAAAATACACTTAAGTGCTAAACTCATTTAAAGTAACTTAATCTGTTTTCTGTGATTCAGGAGATCTTTGAGGAAGTTACAAAACTTAGGGTCATTGTCATAAGCATGAGGTAGTTCTGTAGAAAAAAGTATTTTAAGTTTCAAATTAAATGGGAGCATATTAACTGTATTAAATCCAGAAAGAAATAGAGATCACCTACTTTGAGCCCCGCGTTTTACAGATGAAATCACTGAGCCAGAGAAACTGAGTGGCCTGCCTAGAATCACATGTTAATTGATGTCAAATCTGGGAGTTAAATCCAGGCTCCTGACTCCCAGCACTCTTTTTATGGTGAGTTATGTTTAAACTCAGAATGTCTGAAACGAGACTAAGAATATGCTGATGATGAATGTGGCTGCAACTTTGTATATGGAATCAAAGAAATATTAGAAGGAAGTTGAAGGGCCTGGGTATGTCACTGATGGGTATGGCACCATGAACTTGACTTGATCCACTGGGTAAAAAAGTGCTGTGGGATTCTTAGTGATTTTCTTAATCATAGCAGTTCATGTCTTCTGTACAAAATCCATCTCGAGTTTGCTCTGAAATGAATCGGCATTAAAAACCCAAGTTTTCGTGTGACTCTCACAGGCTTGTTATATGCACAGGGAGTAGCATAACATAGATGCAGAATAATGGTCTTGTTTTTTCTCTTCTTATCAATGATCATTAAAAGCTATGCTTTTCAACTTTGTTGAGTTTTAAAGTTGCAAGAGATAACTGTAGAACAAGTTCTGTTACATGTGCCTCCCTCATCTTGCCCATGTCGCTTCCGCGAGCCGTGTGAAGTGTCAGGACCAGTGACTATGGGCAGTGAGTGCTTCTAAGCAAGAAGCCAGGGAAGGCAGCGCTTTATTCCTGGGTGTGCTAAACACAGCGTTCCACCTTCAGCTCCTTCCTTTTTTCACTTATAAATCTATTTCTTTGGGGATCTACAGATTTTTGTTGTTGTTTTCCTTTTTATTGATAACTTGAAAAAGCTTCCAAGGATCAAAGTCTTGTGTGTCAAGGATTCAATTTACTCAGTCTTGTCTGAATTCTTGATAGGGTTGCAAATCTATCTGAATTTGAATCTGGATGGGAAATGCATGGTAAATGTAGTGTGATGGCTACGAACACAGACTCTGAAACTAGACCGTAGACTGCCGGGTTCGAGTCCAACTTCTCTTGTTACTATGGCCCTATGAACTTGGCAAAATCCCTTTAATGCACTTACCTCAGTTCCCTAATCTGAAACACTGTCTCATAGGGTTGCTGTGAGTATGCAATTAAATGAATATTTTTAAAGTCCTTAGAATAGTGATAGAAGTGCTTAATAAGCTAGATTAAGTGGTTCTGCTGAGACCAGAGTTGTTCCTGGGTCCAAGGCTGTGTTCCAATAAACGCTGTAACACCCAGACCTTAGGGCCATAGGTTTCAGTAAAGGAGACATCTTTTTCCTTAGTCAAAATTGCAAAGTACGTCCTGCAGCCATCTTTTTATTCTGTTGAACTAAAAAGGTAATAGCAGTAAAACTTGACTTTGAACACCAAAATGCATCAAGCCTCTCTTCAGCTCAGTGAATGTGTCTGCCTGCCATCGCTTCTTGCTAATTGGAGAGTAGTGACTCTGATAAATTTATTGAGCAGCCTCAAGCAGGTAGCCTGCTCTGTGGGGGTCACCTTTGGAAAACTGCTAGGATCGCCGTGGTGTTCCCTGCACTGACTGTAACCTGCAGGACTCCTTTTGCACACAAGCTCAGAGCGGCTCACTTAGGTTCCTGGTGAGGGGGTTTCCGCCCGGCGGCTCTGCCTGCGGCAGGGGCCAGGCTGTGGGAGACACTAATGGGAAGTGAGAAGAGAAACTGTCGTTCTTAACCAGCAGGGCTGTTTGGAGTGTGTGACTCTTGTATTTAGGGAAAAGATTACTCATGACTATTTTCTTCCATAGAATATAAAGAACCTCAAATTACTACTTGCACCCCCCACCCCCTCCTCACCCGCCCTCCTCCATTTCCGTGTATCCTCTGCAGAAACTTCAGCATTTTACTCTCATTTCCCCTCCTGAGCGGGATTCAGTTCTGTATTTGCTTTGGCACTTGTGCTTCCAATCAGCTCCCCCGCCACTTTTTCCTGTTTCTGACCGGGCATCTTCTGCTGTGTGGCCCTCTCACCGCCAGGTGCTTTCTTAGGCCACGCTTGACTTGGAACCGCGCAGTTGTCCCCTTGTGTAAAGGAGAGGAAGGGAAAAGCCCCTAATGACAAATCATTATGCTGTTTTTGTTCAAAGATAACTGACACCATTGACAAAAATAGGAAGTAGACTTTTAAGGTTTTTTACCAGTTCAAAAGTTGAGATTTTGCTGAGCCATCCTCACACCCACTCCCACCTCACCATGATTCCAGATACACAATTTCAAGTTCGTTGGAAAGAGTCGGGGCGCCCCCTGTATCCAAGGTCCGTTTTTTTAATAGGCATTGCTTCTTGACCCAGTCATAGTCTAAAACAAAACACTGACTTCTTTAGTGGCCATTTTATTCTAAAGATCATAGAGCAGTAACACACTATACATTATTATTTTATAATGCCACTTTTTTCTTTGTGACAAAAATTATAAAACTTAAAAAACAAGACAAAAAAAATAAAGGCTCCTACATCCTTATCTCTATTATTCTAGTGCTTGTAGTTCTTTATTGGTGCCCTACACAGTGGACCAGTTTTGAAGTTACCTCCACAGAGTTCAAGGAAACCAGCTATCACTCTTCAAAACTAGGCTTTACAAAGCAGCCACCTGGAAGAGAGAGCCGAAGTCATGCCTTAAGACCCTGAACCTTCTCCAGGGGGTCTGAGCCATTCATTCCCCAGGGATGGTGAGCAGCCTATCCACATAGACCAGACAATTCTTTGGCATGCCTGATTTAAGCATGAAAGGCGATTCTTTCCAGGAGCAAACTGAAGGACACTTCTGTAGCACGCTCATGTCGTCTCCTTACCAAGTTGAGGTAACTAAATAAGAGAAACTGAGGCTCGTCTTAGCCCTGGTATTTGAACTATTAATTCACACAATGCGGTTTTAGAGAATGAAGCTCTGTTGAGCAGCTAGCTGTTTCTAACACATCCTCTCAAAGATGTTGGACTCAGGACTCCTTTCAAATCTAAAAATTATCGAAGACCTCTAAGAGCTTTGCTTATATGGGTTTTAGCTGTCTGTAGTTACCAGATTGGAAATTAACACTGAGACTTTTAAAAATATTTGTTAACTCACTGAAAAAATAATAAGCCAAGCATATATTAACATAAATATATATTTATAAATATACTTTCCAATTTGCTTTACATTTTTGCAAGTCTCTTTAATGTCTAGCGTCATAGAAGATGGCTGGATTCTCATCTCTGCTGCAACACCACATGTATAGCCTTTAGAAAACTCCACTCATGAAAGAATGAGAGTAAAAAAAAGCTAATTACCTCTTAATATTGTTATGAAAAGAGTTTTTGACTTTATAGACCCCTGAAAAGGTTTTGGGAACCCTGAGGGGGTTTCCAAATTATACTTGAAGAACCACCGCTCTAAACCACTTGAATGATATCAAAGATTTCTCATAACAGCAAAATAAAATAAAAAGGTAGACTCCCAGGCAGAGATCAGCCCTGAGCTATGGGCCTCTCTTTGACCCATTTTCTGGTCCTACTCAGAGTCTAAGTACCACCCCCATCAAGAAGTTGTAATATCAACAAGCAGAATAAAAAGGCAAAAGGCCTTTTCCCATTACCTTGCCCTCTCAATTCCCAGAGGCTAGACTGATAGTTTCCCAGAGGCTGAGCGAATGGCTCTTCCTGGAAGAAGTTTCAGGGAATACTTCATTATTTGGCATCTCTGGAAGGTCAGGCCCAGCTCTGGAACATTCTCGCTTCAAAATGATGCTGGGCTGCAATCAGATCAGCTCTGAATTTAAGGTCCCCTTTGAAGTACATTGATATGTGTCATGACTCTGAGCCCCTGTGTTGTGTCAGGCCCCCCTACGTTTACGTAAACTCTACCTTTATGGCAAACCTGGGATCAAGACAGCCCCCGAGTTGGGCAAGGAAGGGCAGGGGTCTAGATGGGCAGTCCCTTAAAGACATAAAAAAGGATTTTCTTTTCTCATTTTGCCTCTACATATAAAGTTCATTTGATATCACACTTTGGCACTTACGAAGCTTGAGTTTTAACCTGGGATTCAGAGTTGAATATAAGGGCTCTTGAGATATGGAGACTCAATTTTGTTAACCATTCAGAAATCTGTCCCTTTTATTCCAACTGTCTAACTGACAAGACCTTTTTTTCTCTCTTTCTTTCTGCCTTGCTCTCTCTCCAACAGGCTTGCAGCCAATTTACTGGAGCAGGGATGACGTAGCCCAGTGGCTCAAGTGGGCTGAAAATGAGTTTTCTTTAAGGCCAATTGACAGCAACACGTTTGAAATGAATGGCAAAGCTCTCCTGCTGCTGACCAAAGAGGACTTTCGCTATCGATCTCCTCATTCAGGTGAGAGTCTGGACTCTTGACACGCACTCAGCTTAGAAAATCTGTTCATCACTGGTTGGTCTTCGCCACTGCTCATCCGCCCAAAAAATTTTTACTGTAGATCATCATGGCTCAGCTTAGTAGAGGAAAGATCCTGCTGACATGTGCCAGTTTGAGGGGAGAAAAGGAGGAGCTTTCAGATCAAGGGGAAACTTCTAAGGTTCAGAGAAGTAACCCTGTTCAGATCTACAGTCACTGGAATTTAAGGGATCTAGTTGGGCAAGCACGTAAGGAAGAAAATGCATTCCAGCCCTTTCTCTCTAACGCGCTCCTGAGTGTGAAGACCTAAAAAGAGATGCTGGAGATTGAGTGAAGGTTGTGAACTGCTCAGTTAACAACAAATACAGGAAAGGAAGGGGAATGAGCCCTGCTGAGGTAGCTGGACTAGGAAGTCAAGAAAAAAGGAGGGAACTGAGAGGTAAGGACTGGGCAAGGTGGAGATCCTTAGCAGCCAAGGCAAGTTGAGAAATAAACTCAAAGGGCCACCTTTGAAAGTACTGACTTTTTTGAAGTAATACATCTTGTAGCACGTAGAAATCTTGAACACTACAAGTGGTAGCTTCCTAGTTAGACTCATCTAACTAGGGAGATTCGTTAAAATGAGGGCCCCAAAGACCGCAGGGGAAGATTTAGTTCGGTAAGGGGTGTTTGGACCTGCAGAGTATATTAATGATGTCGCTAAGACTTCATACATGCTTTCCAGTTTCATATCTTAAATTCGATGGATATTTTAGAAGGTAGCTGTTTGGGAACTCCATATGTCAAAGGGGATCTTTGGCCTCCTGAGGGGTCTGCCATTCAAGTAGCAACAGGCCCTCCTTCTACTGAGTCTCATTGACTTAGCTTGTCTGGCAGAGACCCTTTTTCCCTTGACCAAGGGCAAAGGTCCAGCATAAGGTCTTGGGATAGCCTCCAACTCCATTCAACCCTTATTTACCCCTGGCAGCCTGCCAGCAGTTAATAAACTAACCGTCATGAGGAAATGTCCCTATCACAAGGGGCAAGATAAGGATAGAGAACAGAATCTCCCCTGCTTTTCCCAATTTCAGCAGACCGTTTATATGAGGAAATGACAAAGGGGAAGTTTCCCCCAGAAGTATAGATGGTATTGAAATTTGAAGGCTTATATCTCTGAAAAACAGATCATCTTTTAAGGTTTTATAATGGACATAAAACACACCTGATATATTTTATCTCAAATCATTGATTTTTATCATTGATTTTTACCATTGATTTTTAGTCTCAGAATAAGAAAACTATAAAATAACCATATAAATAAAGCTAACATAAAAGGAACCTAGATAGTTCCTTTTAATTTAATGCAAAAATACTTCCCTTCTCTCTTTCTGTGGAAACTCAAAGATATTACGCTCAAAGAGACAAAGTTATCTGTCTGGAGGAAAAGAACTCTTAACTCTTATGCTGCAGACAAACCATTTATGTAAGACAGATGAAGGAAAACATAGAGATGTGTTTTGACTTCATTTGACTTAGACCTTGGGCAAGATTTTCTCTCCTAGTCTTTTTAAATTCCCCTCTCATCATATCTCAAATGCTCCTTTTTGCTGCTGGTTTATTTTTCTCACTAGTAACCTCTCAACTTCACCTATGAAACTAGGTTTTCTCTGCTCAAAGCTGGAAGCAAGGATATGCAAAAGCCTGCCAGTCGTTCCTTGCTCCTTTGTCAAGTCTTTGCTGATGTGGGCCATGTGGAAGACTGGACAGGATTCTGCTGTCCAGTTAAACAAGCAGGACTGCATTGAACCTGAAGACAAAGGATGCTGGATAAGGAAGAGGGCCGAGCAGGATGGGCCTTAGAAAGAACGAATGGGGTTGGTTCACAACATGAAGGATGGGTGGAACTGAGTGGGCAGACGGGAGGAGAACATTCTGGGTAATTGGGACAGCATTAGCCTAGGAAATCTGGTGACGATGAGAAAGCCCATCTGATGAATGGAAAAGGCAGGAGGCAAGAAGGCCAGCTAAGGCCGATTCATAGTCTGGACATGAGGTGATGTAGGTGGAGGCATTCAAAATTCATTCCATGAATACTCCCTGAATAGCCCATGCCAGTGGTACAGGAGTACAGACTAAGGAAGTTGAGGGTTAGGCGAGGTGATTTCTAGCTGGATTGTCAAATGAAGCTCAAGGGTATGGTAATGGAGAAGGGCTTTGAAAGGTATGCAAGGGGGAGGTAAGGAAAGGTGTTGAGGAGCTGTAGGCCAGTTTGCATGGAGGAAGAGTTTAGAGAAAAGGCCACATACTCTAGATCCTCTACTTGAAACACTGTTCATCGTCACTCATCACCCCTCCCTCACTTGTCTAATTGCCTTCATATTTCAAGTTCTGCTACTCTCTCCAGGAAGGCTCTCCCTGACTTCCAGCCCTACCTCCCTGATTCCAACCTGCCTTCCTTTCCTCCACCTCTCTCCATGTCCGTCTTGGTTAGGGACTGCTCCTCCTTTATCCCAGAGCTTTCCCTAATTCTGTCATGGCCTCTGACACACACACACACACACACACACACACACACACACACACACACGAGTATTATGTGTGACTGTTAGCTATGCCACATCCTGTAGTGGAAGGTTCATTTGGGGCCAGGGTTGTGTCCTGTTAAGCTGCCGTGTCTCCAGCATCTAGCACAGTGCATGGCATCCAGTTGGTACTCAATAAATACTGGTTGAAAAATTACTCAGCATGAGAGGACCTTAAAGCCCAGGTTAAGATATTTGGATTTTAGTTGCAGGTAATGGGAAACCACTGAAAGGTTTTGATAGAGAGAATGATAAGGCTGGAGCACTCCCTTTGGAACAGATATTTGCCATCAGCGCATAGAATAGGTTCATGGAGCCACTAAACGCAAGAAAGCTAGTTTGAATGCCACTGCTATAGTCCTGATGTGAGCCACTGAAGTCCAGAGTTGGATCAGTGAGACCAAAATAATAGTATTCAGGCATAGGGTAGTTAGCTAAGACAGGAGCCGGTCTGGAAGCAGGAGTTCGTTCTGGCCAAGCGATGCCAGGACTTCCAGGAAGACGTGTCCTGTTCTGAAGTTGGAAATGTGAGATAAGAGCCAGGCCAGAGCTGGGAATTGTAGATATGAGTATCATTCCCATTACCTTGAGCTGAGAATAAAGATAAATTTACACTAAGGGTAATTTAATTAAGGAATCGGCCAGAAAGCCATGGATAGAATTTCAAGGTGATAACAGCCAATAGGGGCTGCAAGAAAACTTAACACAAAAGAGAGGAGTATATTCAGCGGGTTTGGAAGAAAGAACTAAGGAGTTAAGGCGGCCGTTTTCATGAAGTGTCCCCCAGCAAGGTAATGAAGCCATGATATACCTACTCACGTTTTCCATAGGTAGAAGCAAGGTATAAATAAAAAAAGTCTTTTTTTATCTCTCAGGTGTAGCATTTGCCACAGCTGCTTCTGACATGAGCTTTCTTTTTTCTCATCTGGTGTAGCTGGCTCTTCCATAGATCACACCACCTCATTTGCTCTTATCTTTCTCATCCATAAAATGGAATTTTCACCTCATGGCTCTTAAACTCCCTTCAAGTCTTAATGCTTCAGTCCAACTTCAACCACTGAAATAGTGTTAAACTTCTAGTAAACAGTAGGACTTCCCACTCTATAAGCAGTGAGTAAATTCTTTGATCTTCTCCAACTTACATACCTTGTAAAACTTACACTTCATCCAATTTTGTCCTGTCTTTGCTTAACTCTCTTTGGCTGCGTAAGGAGACTCAGCAGTAGTGTCTCACTAATCATGCAGCTGCTAGACTAATTAGTGTCTGGCTACCCTGTCACTGTGGATGGATGTTTGTAGCTTCCTTCCAGCCTTGTTTCCACGCAGACCTTACCCAGCATTATGCTCTCTAAATATGGACATAACATCCCTTAACACTTTCAAATGTAGGAGGAGAAAACAGAACTCAATGAATCATAGCTACTTGATATGTTAATATACCTTACCTCCAAATACGGTAGCCTCCTTGAACTCTACATTCTTGAAACAATCTAACAAACTATATTTTTCTCGTCCAGTTCGAGGACAACGGTCCTCCATTTTCAGTCATTAGACTAAAGCAGGGAACTACGAGGCAGGGCTCAAAGAAACCACAGTTATTTTTGGGAGGGAGGGCCCCTTGTAATACAGGCTTTCCCCCCTAGATGAATGTTCCAGAAGCCCATCTGTATCAGTGTACCAGCTGGTGTTGTTGTGAGAGGCAACATTTGGCTTCAGTGAAAAATTTTTTGAAGGTTCTATCAACATGTTTGCCCATTTCCCGATGGGTGATTTATCAGTATGAGCATGCCTGTCCACACCATGCTGAGTGTTCAGCAGCCTTCATCCAAAAACAGCATGACACCCATGCCCATCCTCCGCATTTACCCGATCTCACCCTGAGCAACTTTTTTTTTGTTTACCTGGATGAAAAACATCCTAGAAGAAAAACATTTTGCCAAGGTGGAGGAGGTGGAAAAAAAACGGTAGAAGCACTAAAAGGCCTCAAAATCATTCAAAAACTATTTTGAGCAGTGGAAAAAAACATCTTGATAGGTGTATCACATCAAATGGATAAAAACATCTTGATAGGTGTATCACATCAAATGGAGAGTACTTTGAAGGTGACTGAAGTTTAAACATGTAATAATAAATACACAGCTTTTCATAAATAAATTCTGGGGTTTGTTGGGTTCCCGCTTGTATGAGGATAGGTACATAGTCAATCATCACCTGAAAATCCCATTTTAAATCTACTAAACTTGAGAAGTTGAACACTGTGAAGCTCTAGGAAAGCTCTGGGTAGCCTTGTCGATGATACTTCACATTGGTTCCAGCCTTCTGGAGAACAAGCAATATATAGTAAGAACTTTTTTTTTTTAAGATTTTATTTATTATTTTTAGACAGAGGGGAAGGGAGAAAGAGAGGGAGAGGAACATCAA